GCGCAAAAGCTGCAGCTAAACATCAAAAAAACCAAGATTATGGCAACAAGAATGATTGACAACTGGAAAATAGAGGGAGAAACCGTGGAGGCCGTGACAGATTTTGTATTTCTAGGTGCAAAGATTACTGCAGATGCAGACTGTAGCCAGGACATCAGAAGACGCTTACTTCTTGGGAGGAGAGCAATGTCCAGTCTCGATAAAATAGTAAAGAGTAGAGACATCAGACTGGCAACAAAGATCCGCCTAGTCAAAGCCATGGTATTCCCTGTAGTAACCTACGGATGTGAGAGCTGGACCTTAGGGAAGGCTGAGCGAAGGAAGATAGATGCTTTTGAGTTGTGGGGTTGGAGTAAAGTTCTGAGAGTGCCTTGGACTGCGAGAAGATCCAACCAGTCCATCTTCCAGGAAATAAAGCCCGACTGCTCACTGGAGGGAAAGATACTAGAGACAAAGTTGAAATACTTTGGCCACATCATGAGGAGACAGGAAAGCCTAGAGAAGACAATTATGCTGGGGAAAATGGAAGGCAAAAGGAAGAGGGGCCGACCAAGGGCAAGATGGATGGATGGCATCCTTGAAGTGACTGGACTGACCTTGAGGGAGCTGGGGATGGTAACGGCCGACAGGGAGCTCTGGTGTGGGCTGGTCCATGAGGTCACGAAGAGTCGGAGACGACTGAACGAATGAACAACAACAAAGTAATCTCTTTGGACTACAACATCTTGTATTTATGTATTTCAATGACTTTCTATTGCTCCATGTGAATACTTGCAGATGTAGGGAACTTATACAAAAACCTTACCTACAATTTCATATATACTGAAAGTACAGTATAGTCCCTGTTTCTGTGGGACTGAGATCTGCAGTTTCATTTATTGCTGGGTGCATCTACTGTTGGAAATGGCAACCTTCTCAAGCCTCCACTGGTTATTAGTTATGTATATAATTGCTTACTGTATTATACATGTGTGTATTGGTTTGCAGTTTTTTTTAACTTCATTGTTGTGGGAGGGGCTGCAAACCATATGATCAGATCTGGGCATGTTCAGGACTCAGACTCCATTTTAGAAATATTTTTGCTTTGGGAAACTAGTAAGTATGCTGTGCAGGAGCCATTAGACTCCATTGTACTTTCAAACTAGGCAGAGGCTCAATTAAACTCTCAAAACAAAGAGATACTTTGGACTACGGACTATTGATTCTAATAATAATACCCTGCGATTCATAAGCAAAGTACCTGTATGCTGAATACATGAAGTTTGTGAGTAAACCAACTATGTTATTTTTTAAAGAAGTCTGCTTATTTTTGTCTCTTGAGAACATTATTTAAAAGAAAATATATTTTAAGAGAGAGTAGATGTAGATGGGCTGCAGTGGTGAAGTGGGTCAAACCACTGAGATGCAGAACTTGCTGACCAAAAGGTCAGTGGTTCAAATCCAGGGAGCGGGGGGTAAGCTCCCATCATAAGGCCCAGCTTCCACCAACCTAGCAGTTCGACAACATGAAAATGTGAGTAGATCAATAAGTACCTCTTCAGCAGGAAGGTAATGGCACTCCATGCAGTCATGCTGGCCTTGGAGGTGTCCATGAACAATGCCGGCTCTTCTGCTTAGAAATGGAGATGAGCAACAATCCCAAGAGTTGGACTTGACTAGACTTAATGGCAAGGGGAAACCTTTACATTTAGTTTACCTAGATGTTTTTGGGGCAACTAAAAGGAACACTTCTGAAACTCTGCTGTATATATTTTCAAAGATCCTAAAATCTCCAAAACATTAATGCAGTTTGATATCACTCTAATGATCATGCTTCGATGTTATAGAGTTATTGTTTTATGAGGCCTCAAGCCTTTTCTGCCAAAGAGTGATGGTGCTTCACCAAAGTACAACTCCAGTATTCTATAGCATAGAGCCATGGCAGTTAAAGTGGTATCAAACTGCATTAATTCTACAGTGCAAATGTACCATCTGACAAAATATATCATCTCTAAGCATTTTCAAGGTCTAACACAGTGGTTCTCAACCTGTGGGTCCCAGATGTTTCAGCCTTCAACTCCCAGAAATCCTAACAGTTGGTAAACTGGCTGGGATTTCTGGGCGTTGTAGGTCAAAACACCTGGGCACCCACAGATTGAGAACCACTGCTCTAGCACAATTCCGGTATTCTCAATCAGAAGTCCTTCATTTCAATAGGGTTCACCATTATCCGTAGTTTCACATATCCACGCAAAGTTTAGGACTGCATCTCCCGCAAATATGGAGGTCATACAGAACAAACCTTTTGTCTACACATCTTAGTAGCAAGCTGATGCCTCTGTTGCATGTAAAATAACACTACATCAGGTGCATACTGAGTGAGCATCACTTAGTGAGGATGAATGGAGTGTGGATTCACAGGCAGCTGTGGGCATTTGTACATGTCTCCCTCCCTCCTCCCAGTGTAGCTGTGCACATGCAAATGGCTTCTCACTGCAGTTTGGAAAGCTCAAGTAATGCAGTTGATTTGACTGAGGACTATCAAAAAGATAGTATGAACTCTGTTCAATTAATTGATTCAATGGCATGCATTTGCATATGAATCGGCAATACAGGGGGAAAGTAACATGCCATGGTTTTCTAGATGAGGCAAAGGCTAGGGCAGGCATGGGCAAACTTGCACCCTCCGGATGTTCTGGACTCCAATTTCCCACCATTCCTAACAGCCTCAGGCCCCCTCCTTAAGCAGCTGAGGGGGCAAAGGGGGGGGGGCTGAGGATGTTAGGAATGGTGGGAGTTAGAGTTCAAAACATCTGGAGGGCCCAAGTTTGCCCATGTCTGCTGTAAAACCACAGCTCCTGGGATCCCATACTATTGAGCAATGGCAGTTAAAGTAGGGTTAATCTGCCTTCGTGGTTTAATGGGTTGTCGAAGGCTTTCATGGCCAGAATCACTGGATTGTTGTGAGTTTTCTGGGCTGTATGGCCATGTTCCAGAAGCATCCTCTCCTGATCTTTCACCCACATCTATAGCAGGCATCCTCAGAGTTTGTGAGGTCTGTTGGAAACTAGAAAAATGGGGTTTATATATCTGTGGAATAACCAGAGTGGGAGAAAGAACTCTTGTCTGTAGGAGCTAGGTGTGAATGTTTCAATTGGTTACCTTGATTAGCACTGAATCGCCTAGCAGTTTCAAGGTCTGGCTTCTTACTGCCTGGGGGAATCCTTCGTTTGGAGGTGATTAGTTGGCCCGGATTGTGTCTTGTCTGGAATTTCCCTGGTTTTGAGTGTTGTTCTTTACTTTTATGATTTTAGAGGGTTTTTTTTAATACTGGTAGCCAGATTTGGTTCATTTTCATGGTTGCATTGTTCCTTTCAGTCGGTTTTTGCAACACTTCTCATGAGAATAGAAGAAGGATGGACAGGGGGATAATAAAGGGGAAGATTTCCAAACTCTCCCTGCGACGTTCCAACCAAACATTAAGAGGAACTTCCTGACAATGAGAGATGTTGGGCAGTGGAAGATGCGACATGCCTTGCCTGAGAGCCTGGTGGAGTCTTTCTCTAAAAAGGCAGAGGCTGGATGAAGGGTTAGAAGGCATGATCAAGTTTGCAGATGACACCAAATTGGGAGGGATAGCCAGTACTCCAGAAGGCAGGAGCAGAATTCAAAACGATCTTAACAGATTAGAGAGATGGGCCAAAACTAACAAAATGAAGTTCAACAGAAACAAATACAAGATACTCCACTTTGGCAGAAAAAATGAAATGCAAAGATACAGAATGGGGGACGCCTGGCTCGAGAGCAGTACATGTGAAAAAGATCTTGGGGTCCTTGCGGACAACAAGTTAAACATGAACCAACAATGTGATGCAGCAGCAAAAAAAGCCAATGGGATATTGGCCTGCATCAATAGAAGTATAGTGTCTAGATCCAAGGGAAGTCATGCTACTCCTCTATTCTGCTTTGGTTAGACCACACCTAGAATATTGTGTCCAATTCTGGGAACCACAACTGAAGAGAGATATTGACAAGCTGGAATATGTCCAGAGGAGCTGGAGAACAAGCCCTATGAGGAGCTGGGTATGTTTAGCCTGAAGAAGGGAAGGCTGAGAGGAGACATGATAGCCATGTATTATGTGAGAGGAAGTCACAGGGAGGAGGGAGCAAGCTTGTTTTCTGCTTCCCTGGAGACTAGGATGTGGAACAATGGCTTCAAACTACAGCAAAGGAGATTCCACCTGAACATGAGGAAGAATTTCCTGACTGTGAGAGCCGTTCAGCAGTGGAACTCTCTGCCCTGGAGTGTGGTGGCAGCTCCTTCTTTGGAAGCTTTTAAACAGGGGCTGGATGGCCATCTGTCGGAGTGCTTTGAATGCAATAATCCTGCTTCGTGTCAGGGGGTTGGACTGGATGGCCCATGAGGTCTCTTCCAACTTTACGGTTCTTTGATTCTATGATTCTTCGGGAGCTTTTAAACAGAGGCTGGATGGCCATCTGTCGGGGGTGCTTTGAATGCAATATTCCTGCTTCGTGTCAGGGGGTTGGAATGGAAGGCCCATGAGGTCTCTTCCAACTTTATGGTTCTATGAATCTATGGATGGCCTTGCAACTTCAAAGCCTGGCTGGTTGCTGCCTCGGGGAATCCTTTGTTGGGAGGTGTTAGCTGGCCCTGATTGATTCCTGTCTGGAATTCCCCTGTTTTCTGAGTGTTCTTTATTTACTGTCCTGATTTTAGAGTTTCTTAACACTGTTCTCTAGGAGTCTAAGATGCTATGAAAGGAGGGAGGGAGGGAGGGGTGGGCATCCTTCCTTGCCCGCATCCTGCACCAGAAAAGCGAGGGCTCCTCTCATTCTCTCCCTCCCTCCTTCCCTCCCTCCTTTCTCCCGCCTCTTCCCCTCTTAAGGTGGCGCGGCGGGATGCTGCATGGCCTGGCCCGTTCCTCCCGCGGGGTGGCCTTAAACCCAAGCCCCCCCCTTAGCCCCCTTTGGCCAGAGGCGGCGCGGCTCCTTTAAGGAGGCTCCCGCAGCCCGAGCCCAGCCGGAGCGCGCGCGTCCCGCAGCCGGCCGAAAGCCCGAGCCGCTCCGCCTTCCCTTCCTCCGGCTGCCTGGGTGGACTTTCCCCGCGCGCGCGGCGTGGATGCTCCGCAGGTGAAGATCTCCGCATCCCCGCCAAGCCCTCCGCTCTTCTGGATGGAGGTGAGACCCCTTTCTCTGGCCCAAGAAGAGGCGACCTTGGGCATTGGCTCTTTCCTCTTTGGAGACTGTCAGGTCTCGTTTTAATTCCTCATCCATCAAGGGCGAGCTTTGTTTTCTCCTCTTTCCAGAGAGAGACCAAATGGGTTTCAAACTGCAGGGAAAGAAAGAGGGGCCACTTCCAAACTTGCCGGTGCGCGAGACAAGGAGATGGAGTGTGATATCCACTCTCTGGAGGCTGCGTGGCTATCTGTCGGGAGGGCTTCACTTTGGCGTTTCTGTCTAGCAGAATGGGGTTGGACTGGATGGCCCTTGGGGTCTGTTCCAACTCTAAGGGCCCTTCTAGCATGTCAAGGCAGAAAATCCCGCATTATCTGAGTGTGGACTCAGATAACCTAGTTCAAAGCAGATATTGTGGGATTTTCTGCCTATCGAGGTTATAGGGCTGTGTAGATTCTGTAAACTCTTCCAGGTTCTATCATGCCGTCATTTCAGCATTTTAGGGATCAGAAGAAGTCATACTTGGTTGCAGGCTGTGTTCCAGAAGCATTCTCTCCTGACGTTTCACCCACATCTATGGCAGGCATCTTCAGAGGTTGAAAGCTCTGTTGGAAACTAGGCAGGTGAGGTTTATATATCCGTGGAATGCCCAGGGTGGTGGAAAGAACTCTTCTCTGTTTGAGGGAGGTGTGAATGTTGCAATTGGCCACCTTGATTAGCATTGGATAGCCTTGCAGCTTCAAAGCCTGGCTGCTTCCTGTCTGGGGGGAATCCTTTGTTGGGATGTGTTAACTGGCCCCAATTGTTTCATACTTGTATTGCCCTCATTTCTGCCTTAAGAAGAGACGGGATATCATTGCAATATGACAGCCAGTGTGGGGTAGTTTGCTTGACTCTGGAGACCAGGGCTCACTTTTGTATCGTGTGACAACAGTTATCTGCATACTGCATACATCTTTTTCATCACACTGAGACTGGGTGGCCCTTGGAGTCTTTTCCAACTTTATGATTCAATGACCATTTTTTCCCCATGTCAGGAATGACTTGAGAAACTGCAAGTCGCTTCTGATGTGAGAGAATTGGCCGTCTGCAAGGATGTGTTATCATCCTGTGGGAGGCTTCTCTCATGTCCCTACATTGGAAGCTGGAGCTAACAGACAGAAGCTCACCCTCCTACTCAAATTTGAACCACCGACCTTTGGGCCAGCAGTCTTGCCAGTGGTTAATGCTGAGATGTTTTACCATCCTGTGAGAGGCTTATCTCATGTCCCCACATGAGAAGCTGGAGCTGACAGATGGGAGCTCACCCTGCTCCCCGGATGTGAACTGCCGGCCTTTTGGTCAGCAGTTCTGCTGGTGGTTAATGCCAAGATGTTTCACCATCCTGTGGAAGGTTTCTCTCATGTCCCTGCATGAGAAGCTGGAGCTGACAGACGGGAGCTCACTCCACTCCCTGGATGTCAGCTGCCAGCCTTTCAATCAGCAATCCTGTCGATGGTTAATGCCTGGATGTTTTCCCACACTGTGGGAAGCTTCTCTCATTTCCTCACAGGAGAAGCTGGAGCTGACAGATAGGAGCTTACCCTGCTCCCTGGATTCGAACTGCCAACCTTTCGGTTAATAGTCCTGCCAGCACTAGGGTTTAACCTATTGCACTATTGAAGGCTCTAATTCTTATGACCATAATGACCCTTTTCACTCACCCACCCTAGACCCTCTTTCTTTCTTTCTTTCTTTCTTTCTTTCTTTCTTTCTTTCTTTCTTTGGCCAAATCTTCATGCACTGTCAACTTGAAAAGGTGTTAGGCTTTGGGGATTCTGAGTTTTCCCCTTGTTTAGTTTGGAACTGTTAGAGCAGAATACCCTCCTCTTCTTCCTCTCATTTCCTTCTCTTCTTCCTCAACCAAACATCCCTCCTCCAGCCAGGTAGGAGTTCTCTCCCTTCCTCAGCAAGACTGTGCCAACACAGAGCTGTGGAAGTCTCTTGGCAGCGGTGGAATGTGTTCCTTTTGTTGTCTGCATAGCGCTCCAGTGACAGAATATTATCTAATGATCCATTGTTTAACCATCTTTTTTTTTTTCAAAAACGAAATGTCACCTGTCTGCAACACAAAAGGGGAAGAGGGGATGGAGGGGAAGAAGAAGGAGAAGATGCAAGAGGCATATTAGCTGGGCAGCCTCCTTGCATTGATAACGAGAAAGGAGGACTCGCACGTCAATAATTCCAATTTGGTGTTGATTAACCAAAAGGAATCACAACCAAGGTGGGGAGAGATGTCACAGTCTTTACAAAGAGAGGGTCCCAAGAGTCACGACAACAAAAAAGTCTCATTATGACAACTTGACAAAATGTAATTACCTGAAATTCTGGAAAAGTACACAAGAGGGGATGTTTTGAATGTGTTGCCAAGCAAAGGAAGTATTCTTGATTCTCTTTGCCCATATCATGCTTATGTTGTTATATATTTCTTAAAGACAGCATATTTCTCTCAGTTTTGTTTGGAGATGAATTTGACGAAGGCAATAAGAGCTTCACTTCTCTTGCTATTCTACACCACTGAAATCAGAACTGTGAGATAAGGTGGGGAGGGGGATGCTATCAGTAATCGCAAATGGGTTTTAATTTCCAAAATGAGAGGGTTAGAGGCAGTCTCACTTGCCGTTTTCATTTTCTGATCTGAAAGACCTTATCCGATGCAACCAATCCAATGGGAGAAGTCAAGGTCCGGTCGTAGTTGCACGTTAGCGAGGGGGAAGTGCTCAAGACGTGTCTCAAGGCATCTGCATGTTCCTGGGGCTGAACCGTGGCATTGAAGACAGATTCCAGAGCAAAGTCCCTGCAGACCTGCAGCTCAATTAAATCTCTGTGCAAATCAGGCTATGGCACTGAAAATCTACAATGTTTAAGCTCAGGTTCAGTGTAGCAGCAAGAAAAAGGTTGAATTGATGCTCCAAATGTAAGCATCCTGGATCTGCATGCAGCTCAGATATAACATCGGGGGATAAATATTGGCCTGCCACCTCCAGATTCACTTGAATGGTCCCTCTGTGTTTTGAAAACCTGCCTGGAGTTCTGCAGATTCAAGTTCAGGGTTGCAGTCATACCTAAGAAGCCATATCTGCTGGAGATCTCCCTGCTCCCACATAGTTCTTCAAAGCAGAGACCATGTTTGATCCAGATGTGGTTATCTATCTGATAATTGGGATCTTGCACGGCAAGTGAAAGATCACAAATGACAGTTTCAGATCCTTTTTTTCTTTAGTAACAAATAGGGGAGATTTCCTTGTGCACAAAGTGTGAGAAGCATGCAGGGTTGAGTACCTTTTTGCATAGTTTGTGTCTGATCTATTTCAGCCAAAAGAGATTTAGCAATGTAGCATTGCTAGATCCTCTCAGTCATGCATCCCATCAAAAGAGGGCCTAGATCAGTGTTTCTCAACCTGGGAGTTGAGACCCCCCTGGTGGGGTGGTGGGGTGGTGAGGGAGTGTCAGAAGGGTCACCAAAGACCATCAGAAAGCACAGTATTTTCTGTTGGTCATGGGGGTTCTGTGTGAGAAGTTAAGCCCAATTCAAACATTGGTGGGGTTTAGGATGCTCTTGCATTGTAGGTGAACTATAAAACCCAGAAACAAAAACTCCCAAATGTCAAGGTCTATTTTCCCAAACCCCATCACTATTCAAATTTGGGCATTTTGGTTATTTGTTCCAAATTTGGTCCAGTGAATGAAAATACATCCTGCATATCAGATATTTACATTACGAATCATAACAGTAGCAAAATTACAGTTGTGAAGTAGCAACGAAAATAATTTTATGGTTGGGGGTCACCACAGCATCAGGAACTGTATGAAGGGGTCACAGCATTGGGAAGGTTGAGAACCACTGGCCCAGATTAACCTATTCAAGAGGACAAGTGCCTTTTGCAGGTTGTGTTGGTCGAAACATCAAATGCCAACCAATCACATCTTATGTGGCTGTTGAAATTCAGAACTGAGGCATGTTCAGCAGAAGCTGCGGGTTGCTAGCCTGTATTCTCTGAGCTGTTAAAGAAGCAACTGGCAGCTCACTTGAGAATTATCCTGACCTCTGGCACTTTAGTTGACCCCTTTCCTGTACTTATTACACTTTAATGGCCAAGGGCATTACCCTGTCAACCCAGCCTTTTGACTATTGCGCTTTCTCTCAGCTCTCCCAAGGAATCATTGCACTTACTCTGAGCCCAAACCCAGTTTCAGATTGACCAGCCAGGGTATCGGTTTTATGATGTTAATTGATTTTGAAGTTTTTGTTATTTGTTGTTATTGGTTGTTTTAACTGTATCTGTTTTATTTGTATTCCTTGGGCTTGTCCCTCGGTAAACCACCCCGAGTCCCTTCGGGGAGATGGAGGCGGGGTATAAAAATAAATACTATGGGAATGCTGTGCAGGCTGGAACCAACAGAACTTAGAGTGACCAGTCAGACCAAAGGGAAAAGAGGCAGAGCTGAGATAGGGAGCTAAGGACAAGGAGATAATAAATAGCTGAAAACTAATGGACATGGGATAATCTCTTTAAATGGAGCCCCCAAAATATGGCTACCAGGTCACCAAGGGCACCTGTTCATTTGATTTAGGTGAACAGCAGGGCAAGTTTCCAGCACACTCTGACAAAGGGATAACACATTAAAAAACCTGCCAGAAATACATGGAGACACAGAAAATGTCCTATGAAACCATGCCTTTCAGAAGGGTGCCAGACTGTCTCATGCTGGAAGCCTAAGTACTATTGGTTGGAAGCACTTTCTATACATGCCAATTACCACTCTTACTCTATGAAGTTCCCTTGCCAGGTAAGGAATATAGAAGGGACATATTTCACTTCCCCAGAGCAGGAAATGAAAAACCAAGCATCTCCGACTGCTGAAGAAAAGGTTGCTCAGTCTAAGATAGTCAGAATTCATCAGTTCTGTGCCTGTTTTTATATGTGATGTCTGTAAAAGGCACCCATAAACATTTAAAGATG